GATCACGCGTCAGCCACAGGCCTCGGCAGCAGAAACGGTGGCCGGGGCAGATGGTTGAACACCGGAGCGCCCGAGTACAACCAGTGCCGTGTCAACTATCGCAGACCGTCCGGTTTCTGTGCCAACGCCTCGTTGACGGCCCCCTCGCTGGCGGTCAGCCAGGCCTGGATCCCGCCGATCGACTGTCTCAGTCTCTTGGAGAGAATCACCTGCACTCTGCATGCCACCAGTTGCGAGGGCACGGACGATGACATGACGGACCAGAAGCCAATTGCATTTCAGGTAGGCCTCCGGCCCTCCATTCGGCCGTCAACCACAAACGAAGCTAGCACAGATGATGAACGCTGGACTTGAGCTCCACCATTTCACAGGTTGAATGTATGCATTTAGTGCAACTCGGCTTTTCATTTTGTGGCGAACAACTTATCTACAAGGCATTCGTGAATTGGCCTCAGCAAACTTCAAAGACGGATTATTTGGGATTGGAAACTGTTGGATTGTGCAAAACGTCCTGCAATTCTGATGAAGCCGTGCTCACCTTTCATCTGTCACGCCGTGACAGATTTCGTATGAGCAAGAAACTGTCAGTTACGAAAAATCTCATTAATACACCCTCTTGGTTTCGTAAATTGATATGATTTTTCATAATTTATCGGTGCATAGAAGCTGGGTTTCAAAGAATCCCTTAGTAGACTTATGCTGGCTTATCTTCCGTATCGTCTGAAAAGACGGGTAGAAGAGATGAATAAGTTGCTCTCATCGGACACTACAGGAAGACTTGTGACTACTGGATTGTGCGAAGAAGAACTCAACTCCTTGTCCTGCAAAATTAATGAATCTGCGTTGAGCTTTCGATCTTCATGAAATGGACACTATCAGAGCCAGAAACCATCATTTATGAAAATTGACCAAAAATCACCTTTCTTGGTATAGTGTTATTTGGTGAATTTTTGTCGATTTTAAAGGCAAACTTAAGAATCCCATACAAAAGGCCACACCATCTTGGTCTTCATATCTTAAGAATCCCAGGCTATGTTTTCTAACTCTGACACTGTCTGCAATATGATAGTCGAAAGCCGGCAGGAGGCGTAGTTGGACCGAATCACGAATCTCCTCCAACTAACTTTACCTTCAGACTGAAAAGTCGAGTCACATTGACTTATTAAGGGAGTCTTCGCAACTCACTTTCTCGTCGAATACAATATTAATCTTTTGCAATGTTTGTCTATCTTATGAAAGATTGTTTTCTTACGTTTTTTTGCCCATTAAAACCTCCGAATTCTCATCTAATGCTACCTCTGAAGCATGTATTGCTCCACTTGCCTGAAACTTGTTGTTTATAGACATTACACCATGTGCTATTACTACATATTCATTAACCTAACAAAGTACTGAGAGATCTTAATTGAAGTCGGCCAATATTAGGTGATTTTTATTTAAATGACTACAAATAATTTGGGATGTTTCAT